GTGCCCGCCTCGTAGCTCTTCGCTGCATTCTGCCCCTTTGCGGGGCGCGGCGGGGGCGCGTACCGCCCGCCCGTCAGCGGCCGGGATCGTCCCGCGGGGAGCAGGGAGTCCCCTGAGGAGTCGGGCTTCGTCGTGGGTCGCGAGTTTGCTTTGTGTTCCCGTTAGGAAGAAAAACCGGTCCTGGGGAGGTGGTAGTGAGTGAAACGTGCCGGTTTGCAGCGGGGTGAGACCTTGATGGTGAACTGGGACGGTGGCTCTTGGCCCTGGTGAAGTCAGTCAGTAGCTGGGCAGGCTTTTAGGAGCTGGTTAAGATTTCATCCTCGCTAGATGTTTGCTCGTGGTTAAGTTACAAGCTAATTTGGAAGACAAATGGCAATTAAGCCGAAAATGAACAAAAACAGCGTTTTAAACTCACTTTTATAAGGGAAATACATTTTCTTTAAATGTGCTATGTCTACGAAAGAAAACCAGCAGGCAGGCTTTGTATTTAGAGCTGGCTGGTGTGTTAAACAGAAGAAACATTGTCTGTAGTCAATCTATGGTCTGCTGTTTCCCTCTAAAAACGCTAGAATTGGTTCTCCTGCCTGACACTTGAAGATCAAGCCACTCCTCCCCTTTTTTTGAGCCTGAGTTTTTCAGCTTTGACTGTATCAGTGCTTGAACTGAACCAGTTGAATATCCTCAGAAGAAGGAAATGGTGTTCCTGTAAGGTGTATGTGCAGAAGAGCTTACTCCCATCAAAAGTTAATTTAGTACTAAAGATTAGGCATTGACTTTTTTTTTTTTTTTTGACCCAATCACTGGTTTGGCTTTCTTCAAAGCAAAACGCCAAACAGGTATTTCTCTGCAAATACCTCATGCTACTTTAGTAAGTTACAGTTAGTGTGCACTCTAATGTAGTTTTACATAATTCAAAGTAGAATTCTAAATAGGATTTTAAAGAAAAAACACTTTAATCCATTTTCAGATAGCCATCTTTGTCCATCTGAGTGTGAAATTTTCTTCTTTGCTGTTTGCAGTTGCTGTCACTTTTGCATATATTCAGAGAGGACAATGTCCAACGTGCCAGTGGCTGTGGTGACCGGGTCCAACAAAGGAATTGGATTTGCAATTGTGCGGGCTCTATGCAAGCAGTTCCCAGGGGATGTGTACCTGACAGCCCGAGACCCTGGCCGTGGCCAGAAAGCGGTGGCAAAGCTCCAGGAGGAAGGGCTGTGTGCGCTCTTCCATCAGCTGGATATCGATGATCTGCAGAGCATCAGAGCTCTCCGTGACTTCCTAAAGGAGAAGTATGGAGGGCTGAACGTGCTGGTTAACAATGCAGGGATCGCTTTCAAAGGTAGGAGGTGGACTGTTTGGGATAGTCCTATGTGCTGCAAAGCTATGTGGAGAAGGATAGTAGATGCTTCAAGGATTTTACAGAGCTACTTATATGGGACTCCCGTGCTAATGGCATGCTGTTTTTTTGGCTGGGCAAGCTGCCTCCCTTAAGCATGAGAGGGCAATGTGAAATGGCTCTTCCTCTAGCATCTGTTGCACTAACTGTGCATGTAAAGATGCTTCCCTGGAGTATTGTATTTGCATCACATACAGAGAATGAAAATACTTGAGGCAGACAGCGCACGTGAGCAGAGTTGGGTTTATTGCCTCAGTGCCCATGAGTTTCACCAGGCCCATGGGAGTCCATCATCTGTGTGAATATCAGCCGCGTTCCTCGGGGATCTGTGTTTTCTCTCTTCTGCGAGCCTGTTTTATGCATTACCTGGTCAAGGATTCCAGCTGATAAAAAAGAACCTTTGGCCCTCGGTGATTTTTGTCATCTTTACTTATCTTTAACTTTCTTAGGCCATTCAGTCACCTATAGAACAGTTAACCTAAATTTTGCTGTGCTGAGCAAGAATTTAACCCTTTCATCTTCTAGTGGACAGGAAGGCAGGGAAAGTGAGGAAGACCGCAGTTGTAAGGTAGAAGAGTGCATTCTCCTTGTAGGTATTTATAAAAACAAGTTGAGAATCATGTTAGCTCCAGGTAGAGCAAATCACAAGCATGACTACTAGTTCATTTCCCTGCCAGTTCCTTCCATATTTTCTGGTTTTTTGGGGCTTTGTTTTTGTTTTTTTTTTTAAATCTCCTTGCCTGATCTCCAGGTAGGACATGTAACTGTTCAAGCACAGTGTTGTGCTGATTCATCTGCTCACAGCATGAGTTAAGGAGGCCTGTCATGTAGTATGGATGAAATCTCACCTGCTGCTGAAGATGGAGTTTCTCATGTAGTGGGAGTGCAGCAATGGTGTTCTGAAGTCCAGTCGCTGTATACTTTGCATGGTATTTTTCAGGAAGATTGCTTGTGTTCAAGATCAGCTTAATAGGAGGCAACTCAATATAATTGTCTGAGCTTCAGGATGTGCTCGAGATAGAAACGTGTTAAAACCTTGCAGCAACAGTTCAAAGATTGTATCTCTGTCCATGCATATCATTTATAAAGCCTGCAGGTGCCCAGAGCAGTATTTCTTCAATTCACAATCAGGGCCTTAGCTCAACCTACTAGTGACAGTGAGTTTGAGCAAGACTGGGCTGCAACTACAACAATTGAAGTGCAGCGTGTTTTTCCTGTTGCTGACTTTGCAGCAGCTGTAGCCTCCATCAAAGTGGGTACCTGGACAGGTGAAATAAAAGCTCCTCAAATTGCTGCAGCAAGATTTGCTAGAGCTCATCTGTGAGAGATCTTAGATTTATTATTGTGGAGCCACTGAACAGGTAAATGGGTAAAACAGTGTGACCAGTGGAGTTCCTGTTACTTCCTTTACTATGTCATAGATTTTTTTTTTTTTATTCAGAAGTTGCTTCCAGATGTTTAGCTTAGACTTTCTCCAAGCTGACAACTTACTATGAGTCAGCAGTAGGTCATACAATTAAGAAGTGTGATAGAGGAGCCAGTTGTAACTGTTGTGTATCTAGCACAGAGGCTAGAGGGTTTAACACCTATGTAAGAACTTGCTGTGATGCTTATCTCATATTTTGCCTTTAATTCTTGCTTCTGGGATTGGCGTTTCTACTCAAGCTTGCTTCTTGCCTTGCCAGGTTTCTGCCACCATCCCAGAATTTATGCTTTCCTTTCTTTATTGTAGTACTGTGTGTCATTGCTGTCTGTCAAAGATTAGATTTACCATTAAATTTAATTTGTTGTTCAGTTTTTGTGCTGCACTACAGATAGTCCAGCAAAGTCCTTAGTCCAGCAAAAACTGTTCATGTATGAAATGATTATGTTCCCGTGGGTTGCCTTCTGGATGAGCTTCTGTAAGAACAGTCATTCTAGTAATGCTTGTTAAATTAGGGGAGTGTATATCTATCAGATGTTACAAGTAATACATCTTGTTAGACAAATGAGTGGGTTTTGGAGTGTAAGGAAGCTTCTCTCTTGCAAGGTGGGTATGGAAGCAGCAGTTTGGAGTTGTGTAGGTTTTCAGTTTCTTTTCTTCTCTCGCTGTCATAACTCTTGCAATAGCTCACAGTCTGGCTTCATGTCTTGGATTTAAATGCAAGCGATTTGCAAAACTTCATGCCATCGGTGCCCATTGTTTGAGAGTATAAATAAGTCGGCCATTAAAGCTGTGTTTTACAATAAAAACACAACTACATTACATACTAAATGACCTGTTACTGGTTCTCTTTTGAGTTTACATAGGTCTGGGCTGCGAAGACAAGTGAAGACCTGCCTAATCTATGTAGGTAGCCCTCATCACTGCAGATATAGAGCCTGTAGCAGAAGAGAAGGAATACTGTTACTTTAACTCTGACTTCCCCCTCAAAATGGAGGACGCGTAGCATATGGCTTATTGCTGAACCAAATTGTCAGCTGATGGCACATCCTAACCACTTTCGGTGGTGGCAAGCTGTCAATTCTGTCTGATGAAATCATACCCTTACAGTGCAGTTCCATGGTCTGCTTATGCTTGCCTAAATCAGCTCCCTTTCCTAGCTGCTACTTCCCACTCTTTTGCTTGTGTTAGCACAGATCTGTCAGTTCAGGGGGTGATTTATGACGCAAGTGTTTATCAGTTTTGGGGTTGATGGGGTTTGTTTGGTTGGTTGGTTGGTTTTTTCAGTCTGCATAAAATCTTACCCCTGCATTCTTTTTAGAAGCTTTTACAGTGCTTGTTGCAAT